CTACAGGGCTCTGTGCCTCCCTGACCCACCCCATCTATATGCCCTGTTTCTCTGCCTCTCCCTCCTAACCTAGCACCGGTCCCTCTTTCTCCAGGAAGCCTTCCTTCCACGTTCGAGCCAATACCCCAGTAGCTGAAGTCTTACAACTTAGCATACAGACAGTTTTATGTTTTTATCTAATTATTGCATGTACGTTAATCTTCTGTCTCAGTGTGTTCGTTCCTTCAGGGAAGGGAGAAGTTTGTATTTCTCTGAATCACACCACTGGGCGTTGATGGTCAATAAATATTTGGCCATCCTGGGGAAGGCAAGATTCACAGAACTACCAGGGTAAAATAAAACAGGATGTGTCCAGAGAAAGTTATAAAGGGAGATTCAGGAATGTAGAGAATGAGGAACAAGTTCTGCTAAAGAGGAAAGAAGTGAATCAGAGTTAGACAATCCACATACGCGGGTAAAGAGAAGTGGACCACATACGCGGGTAAAGAGAAGTGGAAGGAGAAAGAGAATCCAGACAGCGTGCCCCGGGGGTGCCCTGCAGGCCTGTGCCGCCTCATTCTGGCTGACACCATCAGGCTCTGTGGTCACATCTACCCCAGAAATCGCACACTCCACCCTTCCCTGACCATCAGACTTCCCCTTGTGGCCACACTGGGCCACATTCGCTCCCTCTGCCTCTTTCCTCCAATAGAGGAGGCTCATTCTTGCCTGGGCGCCATGCGGGTCTTCGGTGCTCATTGAACTCTGACATTATGAAAGGCCTCCCGAGGGGATACCATCCCCTTATCTCCCCCTGGGAAATAAGGGTAAATGAGACATGGTGCTGGATGGCCCACTAAGTTTAAGCATAAGTACAGAAATGACTAAGACAAGGGATGTGCATAAAAGTGGTTCAAGTGTGATGAGGTTTTATAGGGGAATCAACAAGAGCTAGGGGAGGTGAGTGGCCGAGAATGGGTCAAGAGGGCTGAGACTGAAGAGCAGGTCAAGTAAAACAAACCCCCTGCTTCCTGGTATGCTCGAGGGATCAAGACACATATCGAATGTCGGTGGGGTCCATTCTGGGACTGTCTGGGTTCCTCTCCTGGCTTTGCCCCAACCAAGAGTGGCTGCCATTTAGTGAGAGCCTAGAATATGCCAGACATTTACAGACAATATTTCATTTAATCCTCACAACAACCCTGAAGGATGGAAACCATCATCTACCTATCTGTAAATTCCTATCTAAAAATAACACTGGGGCTCACGAAGGTTACGTTTTGCCTAAAGACACATAACCAGCTGCGTGTCAGACCCCTGACCAGGCTGGTCTGTCTGCTCTAATGAGCACTGTTCTCCCATTTATGGTATGTCACCGTGTGTCCTCAGACACATCACGTAGCCTCTCTGGACCTCAGGGCCCTCACCTGCAAATTCAAAGGACTGGATTAAATGGTTCTTAGAGCCTTTCTGCTCTGAAACTCTATGATATAATTGCAGAAAAAAGCCACTGTGGACAAGCGGGCTACGTCGGGGGATGCAGGTTTTAGTGTTACAGGAGTTGAAGGAGAGATGGCTGGCGAGGGCTGGAGAAGGCAGAAGAGAGGGGTTATGGAGGCAGAGGAGGGGGAAGTCAGGATGGCGCCATGTGAGGAAGGACCCTGCGCAGGCTGTCCCAGAGCCATGATCTTAAACAAGAGGAGGCTACAACTCAGAACACTCTCCCCAGCTCACTCCTGAGAGGGACAGAGCCCGCCCAGCCCAAACACAGGCTATTTTTGGTGTTGTGTTGTTTGGAGAGTAACCAGGCCAGAAATAGTGCTGTGAGTGAGCAGGACCCTGTCCTTCTCCCACCCCCGGCTCTCCCAGTGAAATCACCCAGAATCAAGAGGCCTGCTCCAACATTCCAGGAGCCTGTGTAACTGATAGCAGGCGGCACTCTCTTCCCACAGGAAGCCTTGGAGCAGAGCATTTGACTGTAAAAGGGTTTCTGGAAGAAGAGAGGAGAGGGAAAGAGGGATTGAGTCATAGAGAGCGGAAAAGAGAGAGAATGAGAAAACAGGGAAAGAGCTCACGTGGCCACGACTAGCGAGCGGCAGGGAAGGAGTGTGAGATGACCCGGGAGACCGAGGGCTGCACAGAAGAGATCCAGAGGAGGGAGTCGCAGAGAAAGGGAGAGTGAAACAGAGAGCGGTGGCTGTTGCTGGAGAGCAACGGAGAAGCAAGGAGGAAGAGCAGAGGGCAAGAGGGCAGCTGGAGGGCAGGAAGTGAAGGGCTGGAGGCCACGCCGAGACCCAAAAGGAACCAGGGTTACGGGGCTGCAGGCAGGGGTGGGGGACAGTCACGGAAAGCGTGAGTCTGTCTAGTCACGAACCACCTGCGGAGGGGCAGATGGAAACATCTTTCCCAGTTGGCTCCAACTGGAACTTCCCCCAGAAATCCACAGCCCTGTAACTCATCCTCTTATCTCTGACGCTCCCAGAATCAGAGATCCAGCTATTTCAACACCAGGGACTTTTCTCTTTCTGTCCATTTGACCCCTTACAAAAGAGCCCAGGCTTGAAAGAGGTGATTGGGTCAAGGCTGTTAGTTTGGGGTTCAGGGGAAGGAGGGAAAGTGACAGCCCCTGAGTCAGGCCAGCTTCTGAGAAGGGTGTTACAGGAGGTCTGCTGGAGGGCAGCAGGCCATCGGCCTGCACCCTGGTGTGTGGGAGGTCTCCAGAGGGCAGACAAGGTGGAGGCAAGGCCATTTCACGGAAAGGAGGGGCAGGGGCCGCAGTCAAGTCTGAGTTTTGATCATCTAGTGGCCCCAGCTCATCAGAAAGTCAGAGGGAGAGTCAGAAACCCCAGTGAAGGCCCCAGTTACACTAGGCTGTGCCTCAGTGTCTAATACACACCCACCAGATGCCTACAGGTCCCCTCCAGTTTGGGAAAAGACCCCTTGGTAAGTCAGCCCTTCTGTTTCCAAAGTAAAGCACACCTCCCTCTCCCCAACAGGACACAGAGCCCTCCTGTGCCCGGGAACTGAGCGTCCTTTCTGGAACGGCCTCAGGATCATCCATGAGGTCCAGGAGCGGGGATGGAATTGGTCACCGCCCTGGCAGGGCCCAGGACATCCAGAGAAAACAGCAGGGGCTTTTACAGCTGAGGCCTGGCAAGGAGAGGGACAGCGGCTCCTGGAATAGCCGTGGAGGAAGGGAAGGAGGCTCCGCTGAAGTGACTGGAGAGGTCCGCAGCAGGGCGCCTCGAGGGAGTCGATTCTGGCCACATCTCCACCCGCTGCTTTTCCAACTCGGGGCTGGGCACTCCCAACCTGGACTCCCAGGTTCCTATCCCCTTCTGACTCCCAAGGGTGGCGCGCAAGGCACTGGGGGATTTCTGGGCGTAGGAGATGGTTGGGGGCTGCACTCGGTCCTGTCCGCCTGAGACAGGTCAGGGTCAGCGCCTCCTCCCCACAGCTAACATTCTCAGGGACTCCAAACCACAACTAGGAAAGGGAAAAGGACATAAACAAGAAGAGTCACATGGGAACAGTGACTTACCCCCATCAGGGTCGGTGATCTTAACTTTCCAACCCAGGTCTCCCCCTCTTTCCCTGCCACCCCGCATCCCCACCTGACTCCCAGGGGCAACCGAGAAAACAAAGGCAGAGGCAGAGAAAAATCGGGACAGCCATCCAGCTGTGGTTGCCCTTGGTATCTGTTTACTGAAAATATCCAAAACAAATATCCCGACACTTCCACCCACTTAAACATCCTGTGACTCTGCCCTCGGCTGTCTCCATGGATACTCCCAGCCTAGCCCCCCCACCACCGACACAGAGCGTGACAGTGTGTGGACCCCCAGGTCAAGTGCACCATCTCCCCCCCTCCACCACTGCAGGACTCCTCTGGCACCACCCCAGTCACCCCTCGGTCCACAACATCCTGGCCTCAAGGCCAAGGGTGCCCGAGCTCACCAAGCCCCGAAATGCACTAGACTGGTCCTACGCACTCACCTCTAGCTGATTTCCACCCTCTATAGAATTCTTGGGTCATTCTTCCCCCCTAACCAATGCCCTAGAAGCATATCCCACAAATCCGCCACGAACTGAGGCCCTCACTTCTATCCCTATCCCGCTGCTCCAGCCTTCCAAGTACCTGTGTCCGGAGGAAAAGGATAAGGCATAGTTCTCCCCATCACAGCTTGCAGCTCAAAAAAATGCAACTTACACATGGGCCTCCGATTGCTTGCCAAAGCTTTGCCCTGGTAACCCCAGTCCCTTTCAGCCTCCACCACCCCAGCCAGCACACCTCAAACCCCAGCCAGACAGGGCTGTTGACACAAAACAGAGGCCTGGGGGCACCTCAAGAGTCTGGACACGTCAGGGAGTCAGCCCTGCATCACCTGAGGACTGGCAGGCACTCGGCAGGGAAGAGGGAAAGACGGAAGGGAGTCCTCTGCCAGGATCATGTCCTAGACAGTCTAACCCAGACGCCCACATGGCACGCTCCCTGTCCTCTGGCTGCTGGGACACGGCCAAGAGGAGGGAGGGGTGTTCTTCGCAGGGTGGCTGTCACACAGGATAGACAGCGCTGGCGGAAAAAAGTCCACAAGATCGTTCGCGTCTTTGATAACTCTGTGGTGATCTGTTTCCTCAAAGGAAAAGGAGAAAATGTGAACTGTTCTTCCCCAAGCTGAGCACTGGGGAAGGTAATTCCAGACATTGGGCATTTTTGGCCGTCTGGCGCTGCCGGGGGTCAAGCTGGCATAACAGAGAGGGACACAGGCAGAGGGCGGTGAAATCAGGGAAGGCCCCTGGGCGAAGACAATGGGGGTTTGCCCAATTGTCCCTGAGCCCTCTCACACGTACACACAGAGCAGCACGCACACACACGCCACAGCAAGTCTGCGGAGGGAGGGAGGTGCTGAGGGGCCCGGCTGGCTGTTCAGACTTCTAGAGCCAGAAAGTGGGTGGGGCTGAACCATGAGTTCATCTATTTCCTGCTCACATCTGGTATAAAAGGAGGCTGCAGCCTCCTGAGGAGCACAGCTGCGCCTAGCTGCAGGCCCCAGAGCACTGTCGGGAGGCACAGCTACTCCTCCAGCAGCCAGATCGCCACAATCGTCCCAGCAGCAGGACAGACCTCCAGTCACAAGGCACCTTGAGAACTTCAGGTAAGAGAAGAGCAAACTCTCTCCACCTCTTGGCTCAGGTTAAGGTGGAGAGCACCTCTCCCCAGCATCTCCTCCACCCTAGATCCCCACTTTTCCTCTGTTTCCCCACCCCTACTGGAGACCTGCTGCCTCGAGTTGTCCCGGCCTTAGGAATGATCAGAGGGGAGCCAGGAAGGAGGTCAGGCCCCACCAACAACCCCGCCACCGCAAACAAGGGCCTCGACTGTCCCGTCCCTCTCCATCAAGATGCTCCCCGCTTTCCCGCCTCAGGAAAGGGGTTTTTCAGGCCTGCTAACTTGAATGAAACAACAGTTGTGAAAGCATTATAAGAGAATTTAAGCATCATGCAAACCAGAGATGTTATTATAATTTAGCCTTTCAGCCTCCTGGAGGGGAAGGGAGATGTACAGGAGGGTGGTGCCAGCAGTTTCCAAGATTCCCACAGGTGACAACGGGCTTAAGATGCCCTGGGGCTGAGACAGAGGGGAAAAGGCTCAGAATCTGAACCCATCGTGGTTTCTTACTGAATCTTGTCCTCGAGTTCATTTATCACCCGCCAGCAGCAGGGGAGCCTGGCCCGTGGCTGGAGCACCGTCTCCCCTCCCCACTCACCAGTCTTCCAGAACTATTCCCTCACGAGTTCCTTTTTCACTTGCTCCAGGATGGGGATGTCTCCAGTCTTTGCCTGCCTAGCCCTGGGCCTAACCCTCATCTTTGGTGAGGGGTCCGCCTTGTACAATCGCCAGTCCCAGGTAGCCCAACTGGCCACAGACTTCGGAGTGAAGGTGTTTCAGCAGGTGGTACAGGCCTCCAAGGACCGCAATGTGGTCTTCTCGCCCTATGGGGTGGCCTCGGTGCTGGCTATGTTGCAGCTGACAACGGGAGGAGAAACCCAGCAGCAGATCCAAGCAGCAATGCAATTCAAGCTTGAAGGTGAGAGACAGGGCAGAGTGGGAGGCGGTCAGACTTACAGGACAGGGGTGTAACCAACCAGAGGCAGGGGAAAGGCTGACTCCAGCTTAGCCGAGCCAACTCCTGTACCACCATGCCTCAGAGACCGCTACATCTCCTCCCCACCACACCCCATGTCACTGGGCTCCTGACCAGTCACGAGGTATACAGGCCAATGGATGTGGTGTAACACAGCCTTGCCTCACCACTTATTAACTGTGTAACCTTAGCTCCTCTGAACCTCAGTCTCCTCAGCTACAAAGTGGGGACAATCAAAGTACCTACCACAAGGGCAGCTGGAAGGATTAAATAGATTTATGCATGTGAAATCCTTAGCATACCTATTATTACTATAAGAAAAAGTTTAGGATTCATAACTTATAAACAGAGAAAAATATTCTAATCCAAAGAAAGGGTTAGGACCTGAGAGTTTTGAGGAAAAGAGGGAAAAGCAGAAGAGATTAAGGTTTGGAATGAAATCTCCCTCCAGAAACCCCTGAGGGAGCGGAAGAGTCCCATCCATGTGGGAGGGTTGGGCCTCTCATGGGGGAAGTTATCCCGGCTGGGAGCCCTTGGCTCAACACGAGCTTAATGTGTCTTTTCCTCCCCGTTTTGGCACAGAGAAGGGCATGGCCCCTGCCCTCCGCCAACTGTACAAGGAACTCATGGGCCCATGGAACAAGGACGAGATCAGCACCGCCGACGCCATCTTCGTCCAGCGGGATCTGAAGCTGGTCCAGGGCTTCATGCCCCACTTCTTCAGGCTGTTCCAGACCACAGTCAAGCAGGTGGACTTTTCAGAGGTGGAGAGAGCCAGGTTCATCGTCAATGACTGGGTGAAGAAACACACAAAAGGTGAGCAGGCAGGGAAAGCAGGCCCGTCCCAAGGGCCTGCCGAGAAAGGGGACGTAAACACAAATTCTACGAATCCCAGGCTCTCCCCTTCAGCATTCTCTTTTCTGCAGACAGAAGGTCAAGCGCTTTAAGAATCCAACTGTCATGTTTTTCATAATTAGGCCTTCTCATGAGCCAACTCTAAAGACACCCCTAAAAAGTGTTGTGAGGTTTTATAACAGTAGTAACTATGACAAGGAGCACACACAATCCTTCAAGACTTACAGTTTAGGGAACAAAGGAACAGAAGATTGAAGTTTCTGGGTCTGATCCTGGACAAGATCCCAGGGCCAAGAAAGTATGCTGAGCTGGAAGGCTTTCTGAGACTCTTAGGAAGATGGAACAGGTTGAAAGCAGATCGATTGGTTCACGCAACCACTAGTCTGTCTTCCAACTGGATCCCTTCAACAGACACATATCCATTTGAGGACTGGGAGCTGAAGGGAACCATCTAGGGGATTAAAAAGTATCTAGCCTCCTGATCACCTGGCTTTCCCATAGGCATGATCAGTGACTTACTTGGCAAAGGGGCCGTGGACCAGCTGACGCGCCTGGTGCTGGTGAATGCCCTCTACTTCAACGGCCAGTGGAAGACGCCCTTCCCAGAGTCGGGCACCCACCACGGCCTTTTCCACAAGTCCGACGGCAGCACCGTCTCTGTGTCCATGATGGCTCAGACCAACAAGTTCAACTACGGTAAGTGCAAGACCCCTTCCCCAAGACTCACAACTACTGCACCTCATCCCCAGGATGTTCCCCTCTCAGGGAGGGAAACCCTAGAACACACCCCAGCTTTGACAGAACTTCCCAAGTAGGAGACTCTGGGACAGCTGGAGCAGCATAAAGTTGCATGCAGCCCATGAAAGATGAAGCTGAAATCCAGAAATTCCCTCAGGCTCACATTTGACCACCTGACCCCTGTCTCTCCTCCTCAGGTGTTTCTAGTATGATGACCTGGGGTCCACAAACCCTGCTAGGGGAAGGGCTGTGTGGAAGTTGAGATTAAGGAGATGAGGATTGGAATTAATTAGTGGCTGGGAGTGGGGGAGAGGGGAGAGAAGGTAAAGGACAGAAAGAGACAGAGAAACAAGAAGACATTGTGAATCGGCAGAAAAGAAATGGGAATAAAAACATTGAATAGAGGAGTGGTGGATGGGGGAGCCTCAAAAGCCAGGATGAACAGCTGGCTTCCAGAAAGAGTGGAGGGGATGGGACTAGTTGAAAACCCAGTGCTGGGTGAGAATCAACAAGAGCTGGAGCCATTCGCAATGCACCATCTTTGGATCTTCACAGCTGAGTTTTCCACCCCTGATGGCCATTACTACGACATCCTGGAATTGCCCTACCACGGGGACACCCTCAGCATGTTCATTGCTGCTCCCTATGAAAAAGAGGTGCCTCTCTCTGCCCTCACCAACATTCTGGATGCCCAGCTCATCAGCCAGTGGAAAGGGAATATGACCAGAGTGGTCCGCCTCCTGGTTCTGCCCAAGTAAGCCACCCCTTGCTCTTGCCACTCTTGCCTCCATCTCTCTCTCCCCTCTCCCCTGAATAGACCACCCCCATGTTGAGTTTCCCAAACGTGACGTATACAGGGCAGGGACATGTGTGGGAGGCTGACAGAAAATACCCTGGCCTGGGTTTGATTACGATCCCTCTCATCAACCCTCCTCCTGTTTCTGCTGGAAGGAAGGTGGGGGCTTTTCCAGACCATGCCCCCACATTTCCCACCCTCAGAATATGCAGCAAAAGCCACCAAAAGAAGAGCCAGAGAAATGATGGAAGTGGCTAAACCGGTCTACACCCTTTTACGAATGGAACGCTCTCCACTCCCACCCCCACCTCCTCAAGTCAACATCCAAACAATAGAGACAATAGGACTCACGTCTGCAGATGGAGCAGCTTCTAGCTGGGCTTCCAACAAAGCAGATTTTTAAATCCTTCTGCAGAGGCAAAGAGGGTGGACTAGGCTGGGGCTGAGTAATTCCAGATTTATAGGGAAGCCTCCCACCACACTTGCCCCAAATTTCCAGATGCTATAATGCCAGGCTCTGGGAAAGAGGAGAATTTAGTGGGTTAGCACCCTCTCTCTCTCTCAAACATCGAGGTAATTAGTCATGCCCTGATGGGAAGCAGAGAGCCCCAAAGCCTCGCTGTTTGAGTCCTCTTCAGCGTTAGCTCTCAGAAACAGAGTCTATAGACCAGATTTTTGTTCAAATATCCTTGCAGGAGAATTTGCCTTTGCCCCCCACCCCCCAGCCAGACTGGATAAAATTATGCTGCAACTACTGCCTTATTTGAGGAACATAATTAGTCATAGGTTCAAGGGGTGGGGATATTGCAAAAGAATGTTCATTAATATTAGAAACCTCCAGCAGCGAGAGACACCTTGCAAACAGATCTGAAACGGCAAGCCACCCTCTTCCACTTTCATCCCAGTCCCCACCCTGTCAGGCTGCCGGGGGATAGCTGGTATGGGCTGGGAGAGGTGCCCTGAGCTTGCGCTGCCTCCTGCTCCTGCCCACAGGTTCTCCCTGGAGAGTGAAGTTGACCTCAGGAGGCCCCTGGAGAATTTGGGGATGACCGACATGTTTAGGCCAAACCAGGCGGACTTCACGAGACTTTCAGGTAACAGACTGTCCTTTCACTTCCTTATACTGGTGGACTGTGGGGCTCCGAAGAGGACAGAGGAGCTTTTTCTGGAGAATCACGGCTGATCTACTCTTGTATCCGCCGTTGTTTCAGATCAAGAGCTTCTCTACGTATCGCAGGCCCTGCAAAAAGTGAAGATCAAGGTGACCGAGAGCGGCACGGTGGCGTCCTCCTCTACAGGTGAGTCAGGCTCAGATGGGGCCCCTCGAGGCTCAGCCCAAGGCTTCCAGGATGGACGTGAAAAGGCCCCTCAAGGGCAAGCCCAGGTCGTTCTCACAGGCTAGTCAACTTCAGGAACCTGCTATCAACATGCCTAAAAGGGTTTAGATAAACCTATGTTTGTGAGTGAGACCAGACTCCTGAGGAAACCGGGCCTCCGTGGACTCCCCTAAATTTTTAAGGCTCATCTTCAGGAGAGCCACTGAGCCTCCTAAAAACTGCCCCAGGGCTGCTGCCAGACGAAGGCTGGTGTCATGATCACTTGTGATCCATCCAGGCCCCAGTGCCAACGTCCCTCTGTTCTAAGACGTTGTCCCTTCTCTTCCAGCCTTTGTAGTCTCAGCCAGAATGGCCCCTGAGGAGATCATCATGGACAGACCCTTCCTCTTTGTGGTGCGGCACAACCCCACAGGTGAGCTGGAGACCCGTGATGCTCCACCGCCCTCCCCCCAAATCTCCTTGCCCTGGGCACCAGTCCGGACAGGGATAGACACCCCCTCTAACCCCAGGAGGACTCCAGGCAAGGAATCCATGACTCGGCTCCCCTTCCTCTCCCCAGAGGCAGCGCTCTATCATAGACAGAGCACCATGCCAGGACCCCAGTCCCAGCTTAGTCGCTAAGGCAGCTGGGACTCCAGACATCTCGCATCTCAGCTCACCCGTAAACATCGAGCTTGGTGAGCTGTGCTGTTCCTTCCAATTCTCATCTACCATGATTCTTCCATCCTCAGGAACAGTCCTTTTCATGGGCCAAGTGATGGAACCCTGACCGTGGGAAAAGAAGGCCTCATCTTGGACAGAACTGCAGATGTATTAGAAAAGAAGAAACTCTGGAGAAAAAAAAATTTATTTTAATTAATATTTTTGGAGAAAGAGAAGACATTTGCTTTTTTATAAATGGTAAATCTTTTCAATCTGCCTCCCAGACCTCAGCCTCTCCCAGGAGTGGGAAAGAGGACCTTCAAGAAAAACACTCACCGTGTGGAGACCCCAGGAGAGACCTCCAAAGCACAACTCCCTAAAGGTCTCCAAACCAGACTGTAAAACTCGCAGAATCACTTGTGCAGCTGCTTCTGCTCATGGCTCTGCCTATCCAGGTCTTCCCGGACCCCATTGAGACCCTGGCAGGGTGGCACTGCAAGGCTTACAGGAGCTTTTGTGTGCCTGGTAGAGACTATTTGTGTTCCAGTCACATGGCCGTCATTCTTGCACTGTCTGCCGCTGCTGAGGCTGGCAGCAGGCCAAAGAAGGCCAATGGGAGAGACACACTTTCATGTCCAGGGCCGTCCTTCCCCAGCTCAGAGGCGGTGGGGACTCGCAGAGCAACTGCTGGCTCAGTGCAGAGACACACCCTCGCCTGGCCGTCTCCCTCCCCAGAAACAGTGTGCATATATTATTTTGGAGTGTAGGTGACTTGTTTACTCATAGAAGCAGGTTTTTGCTTCCCACAAACTTTATTTTGCAGGAAGACAGGAAGAAAGGTGAGATGTGTGCCTGGTTCTTGGCTCCCATCTCCTGGTGGGGAGGGGGGATGCCAAGGGTGTGCTTGAATATTTATCATATCCTTGTCCTTGTGTGCTTGTTAGAGAGAAAGAAGACTATCAAGAAAAATGTATTATTTAAACTTGCTTATAGTGTTCCTTTGTGGTCTGTGTCATTGCATCTCAGGAGTCAGCCAACTTGACTGTCATGCCCCTCGGGGCGGGGAGCATGAGGGGCCCACACTGCCACCTTGTGGCTGCCAGAACCCCAACACTCTCTCCTTTTCCTGCCTTTCCACTTGATGGATTAGGACCCCTGCCAAGATTATCCAACTTCAGCCCACTTTAGGGACCAAAAGGATGTGGTGGGTGAGAGGGACTTGAGTGGGGACAGAGTGGTTTCAAAATTTTCCAATATATTTAGGAGCAGGAGTGCAAGGGGCTGCACGACCTAGCAGGACAGAACTTTCCCCAATTACTGGGTGACTCACAGGCGCATTGGTGACTCACTTCAATGTGTCATTTCCGGCTGCTGTGTGTGAGCAGTGGACACGTGAGAGAGCGAGAGAAAGAGAGAGAGAGAGAGGAAAAAAAAATGAAAGAAGGAGAGAGACAGCAAACTCGGGCTCAACTACCCTAGTTAGATAATCTTTCTGAAAACCAAGTAGCTGGGGGTATGGCATGCAGACTAATGTATTGAAGAATTGCACATAGATGTCAAATGAATGTAATCTAGCAGAACCCTACTCCCCTACTGTGCTCTTCAGTGAAAAATCTTCGTTCTTTGTGTTTGTTTCTTTTTTCACCATGCATTGGACAGTGACGGCCACACAGTACCCACAAGGAGACCCAGTGTGGGATCCGCCATTCTTAAAATCATGTTCATTATGTGCTTTTTCACTTTTGATAGATAAACAAGTAAAAATGTTAAAATAAATAAATAAATAAATAAAAAGAATATTCCAAAACAGTCCCTGCCTTTACTTTCCACGTTTCACACAGTACAAAAGCAAAATCCTGTCAGTTCATAGACCTCTAGGGTGAAAGAGATCTTTAGGAAACATACACCCACGGGCCCAGGCACGCTGACCTGCCACGGGCGAGTCCACAGGACTGGCCACCAGGTCTCTGCAAGCAGGCCCCTGGGACATGCTGTGTGGGGCATGATTCTCCCCCTGGGCATCATCCTTACAAAGGAAAGAGGGTTCCCCCAAACACCTTCCACCCGCCCAGATGGGCTGCTTCACGCTCACTGTCCCTGTGGGTCCCCATCTCTGTTCATGACATTCCCTTCCACCACCAACTGCCCCCATGCCCTGCATCTACCCCCACTCCCCACTTCTCAAAACCCAGACCAAGTCCAGTTCCGCCACCTAACATTCCCCAGGGAGCCAGTCAACATCTTCTGTCTCTACATGGTATTTACCAGTTTTTCTTTTTCCTAGTATGTAACAAGCTTGTATTCATATATGCTCTCTAACTCTGAGTGTGCGTGTTACTCTCCCCACCCCCATCCACATATCAGGTTCCTTGAAAACAAGGCTCTTTTGTTATACAGATTCTTCATACTCTCCTGAAAACGGCGTCCTGAAGAGTCTTCTATTCTCTGCCTCCGTATCTTGCAGGCTCTTGCCAGAAGACATGCTTCCCCCAATTGGTTTCTGTTCACATATTCCAAAAAAAAATTTTTAACTGAAAAAATACCAAGAACTAGCTGTCAAAATTGCGTGCTATCCAGCTCCAGAACCCTAAAGAGAGGACTGATAGATCCAGCTCCCTGGAATCCTAAGTCATATCTTAGGAACTAATTATCGTCTTGGGGGGCCTTGGTCAAAACACTGACTGATAGTTACGAGGTAGTGAGTTCTCTGTCACTGGAAGTGTTGAAGGAAAGCCAGTACGACCAGTTGGCGGGGATGCTTCAGCAGTCAGCGTATAAGATGAAGTGACTTTTTCAAATGATAAAGAACACATACACATAGAAAGATATTCAAACAGTTAGAAAGGGCAAAGTGGGAACTTAATAGGCCCCAGTTTCTTGGGTGTTCTTTTAGAACTTTGCTAAACATTTATAAGCATATTTAAAATATTCTTTACTTTCACAAATAAGATCATTTTATATATAGTGTTCTGCATCTTGCTCTATTTACCTAATGATACATCTTGCACACCTGTCCCTAATTCTTTTTTACCAGCTGCATATATAGATGTAGTATAATTCCTTAACCACCGCTGATGGACATTTTGGTTGTTTCGTGGCTTTTTTATTCTCATTATGTTACCAGCAATGCTCAGATGGACATCCTTGCACATTTACCCCGGTGTATAGGTACTCGTGTACCTGTAGGATAACTTCCTAGCAACGGGACTAAGTACCTTTTAAGAATCTCCCCATCCTGCTATTACGTGATTCTGGTAAGACAGACATTTTCAAATGGAACAAAACAATCAAAAGTGACCATTTTGCCTGGTCAGAATCTTACCTTTTCTCAAGCTTAAATAAGCCTTCACAACTTTCCTAAAGAAGCCCACTGTGGTGAATAAAAATAGATTTTAGACCTTGAACCAAAAGAACCTTCACATGTCATTTTCTCTAAAATTATGTTAGACTTCCTTGGAGCAAATGTTAATTATGATGTTTTCGAGAGTAAATCCGGAAAGGATATTCATTCATTTACTCACTCAGTCACTCCACATGTACTAAAGGCCCTTCCCACTCCTGTCTCCCTCTCAAGGGTCAGTCTAGGGGCATTCCTGGTGCCTCCAATGTGATGTGCTGAGATGTTCAAAGGAGATGCGGCTGTTAGACGCCTCCTCCTAATGGATTCGTGTCTTTAGATTCGCCTTCTTCAAGCTTTCTCTTCTCCCAGGAGGCTGACGAGGGGCCCTAAGTCCAACCAAGCCTGGAGGGAAGGTCTTCCTCTCTCCTTAGAAAGCCAGTGTGAACCAGAGCAAAGCCAGAGAAAAGGAGGCTGGGAATGGGTAGCTCACTAAAGCTACTCTCAGCGTTAGGGAGACGCTCTCTTTCAACCTCAATGAGTTTTTCCTCTTTCCTTTCCTATCCTCACTGTGCAACTGGCAAGCTTTGTAGGACCAAGATAAAGTTGTAGAACTAGAGAAAAAAGGCATTAAGGCCATTTGGCCTGCTTCTAGCTGGCTTAGACCATAGATGCAAAAACTAGATGTGGCCTGATCCAGTTCACAAGATATTTCTACACTGAGATTTGTGGCCAAAACTTCAGCTGGTACCAAAGTATTCCTCTTCCTGCCGGAACATTTCCTTCCTTTCGTACAGATCTCCCTTTGGGCTCAGGGGTAGCTGGGGTCATGAAAGCAACAGTCCAAGAATTCAGGGACACCAGGACCCAGATATATCTTTTGTCTTCTTTACAGCCTGAAAATATGATCAATTCCAAGCACGGGGCTAGTTGTTGAGGAATTGTCCATCTGTAACAGATTTGCTTAGAAATGAAAAGAGTCTCCTTTTGCACCAGATGCTTCAAAAAACAGAAGCTAGCCTTGATTCTGCAGTTTACAGTTCAAAAACTGTCCATACATGCTGAGAAAGCTCAGAAGAAAAGAGTTCTTCAGAAGGCCTCATCACCGCAGAGGGAGTTGCCTCAGGAAGTGCCCCATTTAACAGCGCTCTCTGCTAGTCACAGATATTTTGAGGACAAAGATGATGATGCAGCTTCACAATGCAAAGCCGGCCCAGCCCTGCTTGGCTTTGCCTGGGCCCCTCCATGGTCATTCCCAGTCGCTCTTCCTTTCTCTCTTTCTTTAGAAATGAAAAACTAGCAAGATCTGCCTCCAACCACCATTACTGGAGATTTCTCGTAAACCTCACACAGTGGAATTATTTATCTGCCCACGTGTGGGCAGTGAGTATGAATTTTGTAAATCCCTCAATGGTAAAAATATTCGACCAGAGTGAAACTTGTCAAGGAGACATTTCCAAACCATTTTTTAGGTGGTTTCCTCAAGTAAGTTTCATTGTACTAAGAGTCGCAAACACTTCTGTAGAGATGAGGACGCGAAGGCACAGAGAGGTTTCGTAACTCGCTGCTGCTCTTATTATTACCTAACAGCCCCAGGCAGTGGGGCATGTCTGTGTTCCTCACTGTCACACTGTGTCACCCAGAACACAGGTCTCCCTGAACACAGAAAGGCTTCAGACAACAGCTGCCCTCTCATGCCAGTCACCAGGGCATCCTGCATTGACACCTTTGCCTCACCAGCCCGAACACCAGCGTCCTGCATGTAGCCTTGTATCCGCTAGCCACCAGATGTCGCTTTGACTCCAGTGGAAAGCTCTTCTCGATGCAAAGCAGCTGTGGCTTCAACCGAAAGCTTGCCAAGTTCGAACTCCATTCAATTGAACAAGCATT